GGCTCCAGCCCGGCCCTCCCAGGATGCAGCGCGCAGGCGGGAGGTTTGGAGGTGCTGGGCTGTACCCCGCGTGGGGCGTCGGGAGCCTGACGGCGGTGGCACGCGGGCCAGCGCGCGGAGGTAGGGCCGGCGGGGCTTCACTGCCCGGGTTTTCGCGGAGGGCGCGGCCGGCTTGTGCCGGCTCCGCGAGCCGGTTGGGTCGGTTGAGCGGAGAGGGAAGCGCTTGTCCCGCGGCCTGTGGCCGTCGCTGTAGTGCTGAGTAGGTTTTCGGCGCTTGCTGGGTTTTCGGCGCTTGCTTGTCCGTTATTTCACTTGTAACTTTGTTCTTGGCTCCGGAAGCCCATAGCGTGGGAGACTCCGGCTGAGGACGTGGTCGGACACTCGCAGCTATAAAGTTACAGTAAAAGATGAAAAGTGTCTGTCAGGCCAGGTCTGCAGAGCTTCGGGCTGTGGCCCCCAACGGACATCTGGAATGTTCGGGTTGGGGAAGGTGCCTTGGGCAGATGGCAGGTAGAGCTCAGACTGCTGTTACCCAGCCTGCTGTACTTGGGACAGTCCCGGGAGCTTTGTGTGGCACGAAATGTCAGCAAGTGCCAGCGCTGAGGAAGGCAGAGTTCCGTTGAAGTATAGATAGGATTCGTGTGGTTGTCAAAACCCTGAAAGCAGGTCGTTCCACCCTCAATCCCGTTGCCCTTTTTCTTAAAAAAAAAAAAAAAAAAAAAAAAAAAGGGAAAGACAAGGAAGTGGTGAGAACTGAACAGCGCCCCCCCCCATATCCACCAGGTATAGTGAACCATGATTGACATTTTAGCATCTTTCGCTCCAGACTTTTTATGCTTAAATTTCTCAAGAGGAAAAAGCAGGCACATTGTTTAAGCTTTGGAATGCATCCTTTAAAGAGCAACATTTCAGATCCAACTAAAGTCTCCCTCTGTCTCCATGCCCCTACCTGGACGTCCCTCTCCTCCAGAACGAATAGTGTTAATTTGGTTTGCGTTTCTGCAGTTTTGCTTTTTACATTTTGGACCAGGCTGTGTGAGTTTGAATCCAGGCTCTGTCACTTCCTATCTGCAAGTTTTGAGAAGGTCCTTAAACTTTGTGCCACAATTTGTCCATCTGTAGAATGAGATAGAAGTACCCAGGACATAAGAGATTTTGTGAGGAACAAATGAGAAATCCAAAGTGTTTAGAACAGTACTTGGCACAAAACATTCAAGGAATGTGGCCAATAGAGATAAATAGAAAATACACAATGTTTTGTGTGCTTTTTTAAAGATACATTTTGCTGCAGCTTTTTTTCATTTTGTTTTTTTAAATCTAGCGGTGATATACTAGATCTAATTCAGTGTTTTAACCATACAGTATGATATTCCATCTGTATTTATTCATTCCCTTATTGGTGGACATTGACAGTTTTACTATTTTATATTACAATAACAGTTCACAAAGGACTGGATCAGACCTGCCTTCCCAGTCATGGCTAGAGCAATGTCTTTGAATATTATTATTTGTTTAATATTTATTTATTTAATCATATAGAACTGGGGTATAGGCCAGAGGTGCAGGGGTGGTGAGAGGATTCACCAGAGACAGTGGGGAGCAGAATAGGCAGTCGACGAAGTATACAGCTGAGGGGAGCATTGGGCGAGACAGGAGAGGTCTGCTGTGCCATGTGGGTCACCCCAGGCAGGGGATGGAACTCACACTGAAGCAACTGTGACCAGCATGCAGTGCTGTGCTTTAACCTGTTGGGCTACCAGGGAGGTCCCTGTTTGAATATTATTATGTACAATTATTTCTCTAGGTTCATATCTAGAATTGAAATTGCTGGATACATGCATTTCCAATTGCTACCCAGTTGCCTTTCAAAGTCACCTCTCCCTTTAATCAAGTACTCATGATTATCTTCTAGTTGATAACTCTGCCTCCTCTCTCATCTCACTCCCATCTTCACTGTCACCAGCACTTTTATCATTGAAAAGCAAAATCTTACGTTTCTGTTTTTGAAGTCTTTCAGTGGTTTCCCATGGGTTAGAGAAACTTAGAAGTCCTTAATATGACAGAGAAAACCTTCTTTAACTTAACTTTTCCTAGTTCTTGTAGTGGATCACTATTCCCCCTGCCCTCACCTACATTTTGGGGGCAGTAGGTAGTGGTGGGAAAGGGAAAATTGATTCTGCATAGGCCCTAGCACATGACTTCTCATTACATAGGTAGGAAAAGCTATAATGGTGAACCTGTTCTGCAGCCCAGTTCATTTATTTAGGTTAAAAATGATCTATATGTTGTGAAAAGGACATCTGTTGGTTTGTTGGTAAGCTATGATTAGGAATATAGTTACATTATTAAGTGACATTTTCAGTTAGGTGTCTAAATCTACCTTTTCACAAAGATACTTTCTGTTGGTTTCAATTGATATAGTTTCTTATAGACCAGTATAGATTTCATCTGAAGGTATCAATGTTCTTTTGAGATCTTCCTGGAGCAGACCAGTGTAGAAAGAGCTCTGAAATGTGTAGTGCCCAAATAATGAATGTAATGGCATTTAAAAGGAGTACTGTTTATTTCATGGAGGCCAGGTAGAGATGATGGATTAAAGTGCTTTTCTAACTGACAATCTACCATATTTATATTAGCATATTTTATTGTTTCCTAGTGTACTCACATCTGTCTTCATTTTATGTATAAAATAGGGCCCTCCCTGGTGGCATAATGGGGTAGGATGCAGCACTGCAAGTGAGTGGCAGCTGCTCCAGTATGAGTTCCATCCCCAGCCCCAGAGGTTATCACATGGCACAGCAGACCTCTCCTGACCTGCCCGCTGCTCCCCTCAGCAGTGTGCTTCCTTGATCAGCCTGTTCTGCTCCCCGCTCTGTCCCTGGTGAATCCTCTCACTGCCCCTGTACCTCTGGCCTGTACCCTAGTTCTGTATGCATAAATAAATCTTTTTAGAAAGTAGGTAAAACTCTGATGCATTGTTACATAGAACAGGAAAAGCTCAAGTTAATTATGAAGAACATTATAAATAACCTGTTTCCAAACCTCCCCCCCCCCACATAGCTGCAACAGGAGGGAAAACTTAATGGATTTATTTATCTGTTTTCTTCTGTAGCCGCTGTTGTAATGATAACTAAGTAAAAAGACAAATGACCAGTAGGCTGGAATGGTAAACTTGGTTGCGCTGAGAAGCAGGTTTTTAATTAATCAGCATTCATTTATATTGGATCAAGAATCTCGAAGTTGAACCACAGTTTGACTTCTTTCCTCATTATTTTTATTTATTTATTTTTTTATTTTACAACAGTTTATTTTTACATCATTCTGTACATTTTTTCCCCATCTCAATTGTAATCCTGGAGGGTTTCCCATCACCCAGTCACCTGTGTGCCATCACCATAATCCCGTGCACTTCCCTCCCCAACCCCCTCCCCCCCTCCATTCCCCACTCCATCCCCGCAAAATGTCTCTGGTATATGGTTGTTCATTATTTTTGTTATTTTCTCACCTGGTCCATTATACTCCTGCTATGAGTGAAACCATCCGGTATTTTTCTTTCTCTTTCTGGCTTATCTCACCAAGCATGATCTTTTCCAGCTCCATCCAGGTTGCTGCAAAAGACATGTGTTTCTCTTTTTTGGTTGCTGAGTAATATTCCATTGTATATATGTACCACATCTTTTTTTTTTTTTAAAGATTTTTATTTATTCGTACAGAACTGGGGTACAGGCCAGAGATGTGGAGGGTGAGAGGGTTCACCAGAGACAGAGCGGGGAGCAGAACAGGCAGATCGACTAAGTACACTGCTGAGGGGAGCAGCGGGCGGGTCAGGAGCGGTCTGCCACGCCATGTGGTCACCTCCAGGGCAGGCGGGGATCAAACTCATGCGGAAGTGGCTTTAGTTTCTCAGTGCAGTGCTTTAACCCGCTGCGCCACCAGGGAGGGCCCGTACCACATCTTTTTTTATCCAGTCATCTACTTTTGGGCATTTGGGCTGCTTCCATGTTTTTCCAATTGTAAATAAAGCAGCAATAAACATGGGGTGCAGGTATCTTTTTCAATCAGTGTTTTTGTGTCTTTTGGGTAGATACCTAGGAGTGGGATTGCTGGGTCGTAGGGAAGCTCCATGTTTAGCAGTTTGAGAAGCCTCCAAACAGTTTTCCATAGTGGTTGTACTAGTTTGCATTCCCACTCCTCATTATTTTTAATGTTTCCTTTTTTAATTGTATCACTTTTTATTGAGGTAACATTGGTTTACAACACTGTATATAATTCAGCGGTATAATCTTGTCAAAATGTATATTACCACATGTCACAACTACCAAAGCACCCATAATGCTCCTGGACCCCTCTCTTACTCTCCTGTCCTCCCTTCCTGCAGGCAGCCTCAGTCCTGCAGTCAGATTTTTCCTGATGTGTTTTATCTTTAAAAAGAAATCACCACCTGATTTGGTGATGGGAAACCCGCGGGGATTACAATCGAGATGGAAAAAAAAAATGTGCAAAATGATGTAAAAATAAACTTTGTAATAAAAAAAAATGAATTAAAAAAAATCACCACCTATTCCACACACTTAAAGGTTTGTTTCATGAATTGTGTTAAGGCCTTTTACTTTCAGAACAGATGTTATATCAGTATATAATAAAATATATGCACAGGTATATTGATTTCATAAACTTTGAGTTTATAGGAAGTTTGAGGATAAATTTTCAGATTATCTTCATAAATACTATATCAATAACTTAATTTTTAATATGTTAAATAAAATAAGTTATGAAGTAACTTTAAAGTAACATAATGTTAAAATTAGTATTTCATTATTAAAATCATATTGAGAAACATGATATTCTAGAGTATTGCATTGGTCTTTAAAGATCAATAATAATCTTTTATATAATCACTCATGTTTTGAAGTCTGTTTGGGTAGAAGTTTACTCTTTGTGTAGAGTTCATGCTGAAAACTTGTCAGGTTAGGATTCTCACAGGACTGAGTATAGTGTAAGCTTTTTCGTGATGGTTTGCAGCTTCCTTCTCTACATGTGTCACAGGTTCCGTACACAGCACTTAGCATCGATCTTTCTAAGTGGTAATTCAGGATGGTAGATCTGTTGGGAGGTGGAAGAAATGCAGGGTTTTGGAATTGGGGGCAGTTATAGGATCAAGTTTGTGTTTTAGAAAAATACCTGAGGTGGCAGGAGTAAGTTGATAATATTAGAAGTGGGGAAAGACTCCAGTGAGAAAGACCAGTTAAGGAGCTTTTCCCCAGCCTGAGTGACGGAAAAAGAATAGGATGGAAACGACCTGAGTTTTCTGCCTCACAGTCCAGGCGCAGTCAGTGCGGTGTAAGTAAGGTGGGAGGGCCCGGCCTTGGAGTCAGACTCCTTGTTCCTGGCACACTTGGGTATTCTGTCCCAGAGCATGGTGTTGATTAAGCATTAGTTGTGACATTTCACATTAAGAGTAAATCCCTCCTCTTGTTATTTTCAGTTTTTAGTGGTAAGAAATATGAAAAAATGTCTGGGTAGGTAGTATAAGAGACACGTTTTTAGATATTTACCTCAGAATGTCTCGTGTTTGTGCTTCACCTTTTCAGAACTCCAAGAGACGTGACACATCTGTGGGAAATTTGAAGTTATTGCTCATGCATTTTGATGTAATATAACTGTTCCCTTGAAAGTAAGATAGTTTCATAGTAAAAGCCACACCTTTAACTTACCTATCTCCTTGTTAATGAAGCTGAATCTACTTTGTGATACCAGATGCTGCCCAGATTGTGTGTTAATTGCCTAACAACAAACCAGTGATCAGCGACTTCTTAGTTTTGTGTTATGCTACTGTATCCGCAGTGCTTAAGGTTAATGGGTTTCAGGAACTTCTCAAAAACAGTTCATCATTTTTTTCAGTGCCATAGTGGAATGTATTTCTTTATTGCATGACAGATTTCTTCAAAATGCCTTAGCAGCTTAAAAAGCAAATATTTATTTTTTTCAAATTTTTTGAATTTCAGGAATTTGGGAGCAGCTTAGCTGGGTGGTTCTGGCTCAGTGTCTCTCCAAGAGCTGAGTCATCTGAAGACCTAACTGGCACTGAAGGATCTGGCCCCAAGAAGGTTCACTCACATGGCCATTGGGAAAAAGGCCTCAGTCTCTTGCTGGTGGTTGACTGAAAGCCTTAGTTGCTTACATGCATTTAGCTCTTTGGGGTGGTTGGGGTCTCTTAATGACAGGTAGGTGGCTTCCCCCAGCACCAGTGGCCTGGGGAAGAGGTCAGAGAAGCAGCCGGCATCTTCTGTGACCCAACCTTGGAAGTTACTGTCACTTCTGCCGTATTCTCTTGGCTAGAAGCAAGAAGCAATGTCCAGCCCTCACTCACAAAGAGATTTAAAGTGCCACTTCTTGATGGAGGAGTTTCAAAGAATTTGTGAATATATTTTAAAACCAGTGTTTGATGCATTTGATAATTAGGCAATAAATAATGGCATTTCCAGTTTGAATGAAGAACGGACCAATTTAGTCTGCTTCTTAGTGGAATTGCCGCTAAAAGCCATTTCTATAAAATGCAAGCAACACTAAGATAATGGGTCAGTGACACCTTTTTTTTTCTAATTGGACTATTAGTAGGCTTTTATAATAAAAAAAATAAAACCTAAGCCTTTGGAGTTTGCTTTTCACTCAGGAAAACAGTTACTTGAAATGACCTGGGTTTTAGTTATTTCTGAAATAGCTGATATCTAGATGGGAATGATCCACAGGTAGAAAGAGAGTACGAGTTAGAGTTATTTATGGTGGAGAGGGAATTTACAGCTTCCATAACTGTGAAGTACACAGCTGTTCTGCTGTTTCTAAGGTTGGGTACTACATGAGCCAGTGTGGAGATGACGGTGCTGATAGCTAATCCTACTTGCACATGTTCCGTGTTCCAGTTCGGTTTCAGGTGGGTTAATTAGTGCATTCCAACACCTTGTGAGGCTGACTATACTCCGTTATATAGATGTGGCTGTAAGTGACTTCCCCAACCTCACATTCAGTGACAGGCAGACCTCGTCAAGTGCATACTGCTTAGCATGGGCTAAGCACCAGTAACTGTGGAAGGAGCGACTTGCTATATGTAGCCACCGAGTAAGGTGGGGTCACCATCTTTTTCTTAGATGTGTCTTCAGTGTAGGGGGGGTGCTTTACTTGTTTATGAATGGAAGCAAGTGACCCCTCATACCCAGTGTGTCAGCATCCGAGAATGCAAGCCAGGACAGTATGGGTGCAAGTGCAGGTGCCCAAGTCAGAGCACCCTTCTTCCAACTCTGGTGCCATTGCCCATCCGTGTTGTCACCATGGACAAGCTTCTGAACTTCATTAACATCAAGTTTTCTCATTTGTGAGAAATGTGTTGTAAGCATGAAGGGAAATAAATAATACATGTATTGTACCTGATATATGAGAAGCAGGAATAATTGTTTAATTCTTGTGTTAGTTATGTTATATTACTAATCCTTTTACTTTAATTCAGAAAAGTAGAACATCCTTAGGTTATAAAAGGCATTGCTTTTGTAAAATAAGATTTCAAATTGTTTTCTCTCTATTGAGATAGGTGGGGTCCAGAGCAAGGACAGGACAGGACTCAAGGACAAAACTGCAGAAATTTTGCCGTTTAATTGTCCGCTCCCACAGGCTGGTCAGTGAGGCTTAAAACCCGCTGGTGCAGGCCCTCCCTGGTGGCGCAGTGGGTTAAAGCACAGCACTGAGAAGCCAAAAGCCGCTTCCAACTGAGTTTGATTCCCGCCTGCCCCGGAGGTGACCACATGGCGTAGCAGACCTCTCCTGATCCGCTTGCTGCTCCCCTCAGCAGTGTACTTCATCGATCTACCTGTTCTGTTCCCCACTCTGTCTCTGGTGAAGCCTCTCACCGCCTCTGAGCCTCTGGCCTGTACCCCAGTTCTGTATGCACAAATAAATCTTTAAAAGAAAAAAACTGCTGGTGCAAGGCCCAGACGCGGCTACCGGATCCTTGGCGCATTGTCTTCGCTAAGGCCCCAGCCCGGCTCCCCGAGCCCTTTCCACAGCTTGTCAAGTTGGCTGCTATGGGAAGCAAAGGGGGTCGCAGACCCTGAGACAGACCTGTTTGGCCTGGGGCCACGGGCACACAGCTTCCGTGAGATGCTCCCGTTGGAGATGGTCAGGAACCCTGCAGGACCCGGAGCTGACTGAGGGCTGCCCACGTTAGTGACAGTGACAGTGGACGTTAGCCAGGCCTACTCCTTGCTTTCTCAGCTGCTCAAGTTTAATTCCTTTGTTCCCAAACCCAGCCCTGAAACCTATATGAAGCCCTAACCCTGACACTTCCTTCTAGATTGTTTTAAGAGTTGTACAGAAATAATACTTAGAATATATTTTTGATGATACCATTTTTATATAGCACACATATTTAAAGATATTAATAAAATATATGGCTACTTATTGATCTCTCAGAGAAACAAGTTTTCTGAACAATTCTTCTGCCACAACAGTTTTTCCCCTTTTGTTTTTAGGTTTAAAAACATCCACTGGAATCAGTTGCTTTCATGAAAGCGGACCAGCATAAAGACTTGACCTCGTGGAATGACCAGTAAACAAGCAATGCCAGCTGATGAGCAAGAAGGGCTCCTTTGTTATAATGGGGAAGTTCTTGTTTTTCGATTGTCTAAATGGAATCTTGCAGATGAAGGGCCTGCAGAAACACCCACATTGCATGTCAGAAGAATGGTATTTGACAGAGAATCGGGAGCATTTGTTCAGAAATCCACAGGATCCTTTAATCTACCAGAGGAAGACTCTCTTTTGAAAATTGTGTGTTGCAACTGTGTATCTGATTTCAGAACTGGAATTATCCTCCCTTATATTGTGATACAAAGTACTGAAAAGAATAACGTTTTCAAGTATTTTCTATTATTTCTTCACAATACCAATAAATTTGAGAAATGTTTAAGTTTTAGCCTCGGCCATGAGTTGAAAGAGTTAAGGGTCCTGAATGGCCCCTTCCTTTTATGGAGACATGTTGAAACATTCTACAGTATCTCTTCCCAAACTGGCAAAGTTGTTGCTATGTCCATTAATTTGTCCTCTATTGAGTGGGCAGGAGAAATTGAAGATCTAGGTATGGTTTTATTAGGACAAAAGGGATGTTATTTATCTGAGGAAGGATGGACCCAGAAGTGTTCAAAATCAGACTTTGCAATTCAGAATACCAAATTTTGTGTATATGCTCTTGAAAATCAGGAAGTACTAAGTGATTCGTACATTATCCCCCCCGCTTACAGCAGCGTGGTCACCTATGTCCATGTCTGTGCAACTGAAATGGTCAACAACCAGCTACGAATGTGGCTGGTTGCCCTCACTCGAAAGAATCAACTCATTTCATTCCACAATGGGACTCCTGCAAGTGTGTGCCAGCTTCCCTTTGGAGATCCTTGTGAGGTCCGACTTCTGGATGGCAGTGGAGGAGAACACCTCTTCGTGGTCTCCTTTAGGTCTAACAATGCTTGTGCTGTTTGGAACAGGAACTTTCAGGTACAGTGCTTATTTTCATCATCATTCAACTGGTGTGGTCCTAGATCGGTTAAACATGTCTGTGGTTCATCCTGAAGTGTTAAATCCATTTTTAGGGCGTGGAGTTGTTTGGAAGTACATACATAGGTAATTACAATTATTATGTAGTTGTTATTGAAAAGTTGGTAGGTAGTTAAAAATGAAATCTAGAGAAATTCTTTATAATGTATCATCCTCTGGAGACAGTTTTTCTCTAGAGACAAATGGTGTTAATTTTTCTAAAAGTTACCACTTAGAAAACTTTACTATGCTTTATTTCACTTTTTATCAAGATATAATTGTATGCTTTAGGGTAAGGTTTGGAATTGCTTTGAAATATGCACTGGTACTGAGTGTTCAGTAACAGGTACAAAGGAGCAGAAACTGAATAGGAGTTTGCAGGTTTGGGTGGCTCTACCAGTCCTGCCTCTCTGACCCTGGTTTAAGGTACATAATCAGCTCAGTCAGCTATGTGATGTGAAGTATAATTAATTCAAGATAAGTAATCATTACTAGCCAAAAATGTCTCTCATCTGTGCATACCACCTTGAGCATGCCTGATCTTGTCTGATCTTGGATGCTAAACAGGGTCAGGCCTGGTTAGTATTTGGATGGGAGAAATGTGTCTTTTGTAAGTAAATTTTTAGTATGTATCACAACTTTTTGAATTTTGTGTTACTTTGGAAAGACCATAGATACTACCTTCTGTGACCTGTTAATTTGAAGTTCACTTAAAATCTTTATCACTAGATTATCACCTTTATGTGGAATATTGTTAAATGTTTTCAAAAGTTCAAAAGTGATTTTTAGGTTATTTTTATATTAGTAAGGATTATATATAACCATATACAACCTATATAATACATAAGGGACTTAAATTCTCAAAAGGAAAATTATATAAAAGCTATCCCACTTTATTTTGAAAACGATCTTTTAAAAGTGCATTGTTCTTTTATTTGAAAGTTATTTGAAGGCAACATTTTTATTTTTTTCTACTCTACTTTCAAGAAATGGTACAGAGGAAATGCCATGTTTATAACCCTTCCTGGGGTTAGGGTGATGAAAAGAACAAACTTAAAACCTGGGCTGGAACCCACGAGGATTACAACTGAGATGGGAAAATGTGCAAAATGATGTAAAAAGAAACGATTATATTATTTAAAACATTTATATGGATATATACACACATTTCAAAATTAATTAATAAACTTTTTATTTAAGGATAAAAAAACAAAAACCTGGGTTGGAATCCTACTGAGCCATTTACTAGTGTGACTGTAAAGAATGCTTTTCAATTTTGTGAACTCATGTTCCCTCTTTATGAAATTGGGACCATCCTGCTGCAGAGAGGGGTGAATCCAATAACATGCCATGGCAAATACCTGCACGGTGCTTGGTGCCCAGCAGCAGTGCAGTAAGCGCTCACTGATTCCGTTAAACAAAGACCAGCACTGTCATCAGTGACTTACCTCATTCCCTAAAAAGTTGACCTGTAAGTAAAATGCAAACAAGCATCACTTAGAATATATCATGGAAATCCAGTTTAGTGCAGTTCTCACATCATTTCCTCATAAAAACCCAGCAATAGTGTTTAATAAGTGGCAGGACTTGAAACATGAGAGCTGAGTCTTGAGAAATACATGAGTTTTTCTCTTAGGTTTTCTCTTTCTCCTCCCGGCCCCCCACTTTGACTGAGCTACAGCACTGTGTAAAGTTTACAATACACAACGTCATGATTTTACTTGATGTTGTGAAATTAGTACCACAAAATGTTTCATTGAACAGCTAGCATCTCACATAGAGACCAAAAAGAAGGGAAAAGTCATATTTCTTATAAGGCGCACAGCTGGTGTTACCTAGAGCCATCCTGCTGTGTATTATGTTCCTCACATTTACCTTGGGACTTGAAGTTTATGCTTTCTGACCAACCGCAACCCCCTTCCCCTGCCTCTGGGAACCACAAGTCTGGTCTCTCTGACTTTGGTTTTAGATTTTCTCTCGAATAAAATTCATCTCTGTAACACTGGCAATCTATCCAGTGGGCATTTCAGAATTGAGAGCATTGGCAAGTGCTAACACAGATATGGTGTGTTTACTAACCCATGTTGTGATCCCATACTGGAACTGTGGCTAGTCGGCATTGGGGTGTTCTATAAATTTCAAGCATATATCCACTTTCAAAAGCTTAGTAAAAAGTAAAGGGAAATATCTTAATAATTGTTACTGATTATATTGAGTTAAAAAAGTAATATTTTGGATATAGGTGGAATACAATAAATTAATTTCACTGCTGCTAGAGAATTTTCTTCTAATGGCTACTGGAGAGTTTTAAATGATGTATGTACCTTGCATTTGTAGCTCATGTCTAATTTCCTTTGGATGGCACTGTCCTGGATGAGAGAAAAAGCTTGCAAATGTGTGTACGTGCCTGAGTGCGCAGCTCTAGGGTGTTTGCATGCTGAGCACATTCTTACTACTAATGTCTCTTCACATAGTTCATCATGCTCCATGATACTCCTGGTGGGGTAGGAGGAAGAGAGGATATGGGTTTACAAATTAGCTTCCTCCCTGCAGAAGTGAAAAATCACTGCTTCGGAAATGAGTCTTATAGGGAAAAGATTGATATTTGGCTATGTAGATAGGAGAGTCTTACATTCTGGCTTTGATGCAGCCGACACTACCCTATCATCCAGATGATAGATCTGTACTTCTGGGATTCTCAGTGGGACTGTTAGCTCCTCTGCCTGAGGAAGAAGGAATCTGATTCCTGGAGAGTTTCTTTTCCAGGGGAGCAATCTGAAGACTTCCAGTGTTATGGACCTTAAAGAAGTTGTCTTCTGTTTTGGATTTACAGTGTCATGCTTTGTTACAAACCAGTCAAAACATTCCATTCGACTAGGCTATTTCTAGGCACCCCCCAGTTAGGACCCCTGCCTTCCTGTATCCCTGATAATGGCTATGCTCTTCCCCAACCTGCTTTAGGATATTAAATTCATCTTGACTTCGTTAAAGGATATTCTGCTGAGAGCTCTGAAAGCACCTGCTGGTCCCTTCTAGTTACTTAATGCAGCTGAGTTTATTGCATAGGTGGTTGATCATAAATACATATCTACCAAGGCTATGGGAGTCCTCAAATTGGCCGTGTAGAGAAGGAGTCTTTCTAGAGTTACTCATGAGAAACTTTAGAATTTTAAAATATTTAGTCATGGGAAGTATTAAAATTTATAAATTATAATTTACTAAGGAAACCAAGCACATGGCAGTCCCTGGACAAACACTAATAAAATGTTACATCTAAGTACCCTGTGATTTACAAAGTTGTTATAACTATTTATCTTTTTGATCCCCTAGCATTTTAATCTAATTTTCTTGTTTTTACCATTTTCATTACATGTTTGTGAATTTAAGGATGACAAATTACAGTTAAATACAAAAAGATTACTTGATTTCAGACCTGATTTTTTTCCTTCTTTCTTCTTCTTGTGCCACTCTCTTTCAGGTTGCTGCTAAGTGGGAAAATATTAAGTCAGTACTGATAGATGACTTTATTGGAACTGGAACTGAGCAAGTACTACTACTTTTTAAGGACTCTTTGAATTTAGGTTGCCTGAATTCATTTAAAATAACAGATTTTGGCAGCATAAGCTATTCAGTAAGTTTTGTTTGCTTTTTTTTTTTTAAGATTTATTTATTCATACAGAGCTGGGGTATAGGCCAGAAGTATGGGGGGGTGAGAGGATTCACCAGAGATAGAGTGGGGAGCAGGACAGGCAGATTCTCAAAGTACACTGCTGAGTAGAGCCCCGCCACGTGGGTCACCTCCGGGTCCAGGAATTGAACTGACACTCAAGCAGCTGCAGCCAGCTTCGTGGTGGTGCACTTTAACCGGTTGCACCACTAGGGAGGGCCCGGTTCTGTTTACTTTGTATACATGAAGAGCCATTTTAGGAAATGTAAGTGCTTTAAAACTTTGAGCCACCATATAATGATTTGTGCTTTTAAACTTAGACTTTTAGTTTTAAAAATACAGATTGACTTTTAAATGTATACATTGAATCCCCTTTTGTTTTACAAATTGACTGCCTTTGATATAAATTTGGAATATGAGCTATCTGCTGGTCATTCAAATGATGACAATATTGTAAAACAAAGTTTATTGTTGTTTCCAAAAATCACATTTTAGTCCAATAAACATGATAATTTGGATTAAGAAATAAAATGAAGTGGAACTGCTTTATTAAAAGAAGTAGCAATTTATAATAACTTGATGTGGGGCATAAGTGAAGTGATACCCCTGAGCTTTCAAATCCTTAATAAATTGTCTCTGAGCCTGATTTTTTATTTGTAAAATGATGATTCGTGTTTTCTCCACTTAATAGGATTTTATAAATATCTAGTAAGTTGATACTTTTTGATGCATACAGGTTTCTCCCACTGTCTGAAAGTAGAAGTTCTATTTGTTGTGATTTTGTAGGTTAGGGAACAAATCTGAGCATTTGCAGATCATCAAAAAAATTACCAGATCATAGAAAATAGTAATGTTTTACTTTCAGATAGTGGGAGAAATCTGTACATGAGTGTTAAGTGTGCAGTTCTAGTTACAAGAAGATGAAGGGGGGGAGAATGTATTTTGCCTTTTATAAATTAGCGTGTCCCCTGGAAAACTTCCCATGGATAAATTGACTGGGTAAATCTTATGTGTATTTTGGTGATCTTAGGAGGTCTCAACTTATTCCAGAATTTCAGTTTTAGTTTCTTTTTTTCTTAGAGTGAACCATCGGATTGCAATGAAAATGAATCATTTGAAGACACACAAAAGAATCGTTGCTTGATCATTCCACCTCTGGAAAGAAGAGTGCAAGTTAGTGCCTGTTTGCGTTTTGCTTTCGAATTTTGGGGGTTAGTACTATTCTAAAGAAAGGGCTTTAAAGAATAAGGCCCAACACAGTGGCTGGGGAAACGATGACATTACTTACAAATACGTCATTTAAAATGATAACCTTTTTATAGTAAGAGTGTATAATTTATTAAGCCACATAAGACACAAGGTAAAAAGCTGGCTTTTGAAAACACATTCTCTCCTAGCGTGTAGTATCACAACATCCTTTAAAGAAGCATCAAAGATGATGAATTACAACATGTTGCAAATATGAATAGTTTAACTTCAAGTCTTCCGTACAAAACTCCTGATTAAAGTTTTTGTTAAATACTGAAATTTTTATTAAAATAATTTTTAGTATTTAATACTTATTCAAAACAGCCAATATTGGAAGAAATTACCTATTGTTTTTATAACCTACCTTTTTTCATGCAGAAAAAATGTCCAGATATGCAGAAAAATTCGTTTAATAAGTTAAACTATCTCATGTGGATTAATTGTTACTTTAAAAAAAAATCATGTTTGCCTCATCCTTGTGCTTGGATATATACATTTTTGTGGAATCATTTGAAAGTTACAAATATTTAATATTTCACCCTTGTGTATTGTAGCAGAAACCTAAAAATAAGGCCATCCTATTATGTAAGCGCAGTACTAGTATTACACTTAGAAAATTAGTAATAATCTTTTAATCAAACTTTTTAGTCTATATTCAAATATTTTCAGTTAATGTTAAAACTATTTTAGTTGGGTTTTTGGGATCTAATTAAAGTTAACACTTGCATCTGATCGGTAGGTCTCTCCTTGACCCTTTCCTCTGGAATAATGCCTCCTCTTCCTTTAAAATGACACTAATGAGGAGGGCGGGCCAGTTGTCCCCCTTTTAGATCATTAAACTTTCTCCTCTGTCTCTGGCATTCTTCCTGTAAAGGACCGGACAGTTCCTAGTTTTCACTTTGTAGATTCTTTTAAAATTATCTTATAGCTCTTTTAATTTTAAGTAAATTCACTGAATTCTTATAAATTCATAGTAACATGAATGTGAGTAGGTACAAAAATTATAGTGGACATAGAACAATAACAGAAAAGATTGAAGACTTTAAAAACTTTTGTTCTCTAAACAGTAAAATAAAAAGGCAAATTGTGGAAAAAGCAGTTATGACATGTGACAAGGATTATTTTCTTTAATTCAGTGTGTTTTCTGAAATAGCGTTGGGAAGGTAAAGCACAGCGCCTCCTCAGAGGGATACTTGTGAGAGTTGCACACATGGGAATTGCCTGTCTCTTTACTCTCTTGTTTCGTTTCTGGGAATCTCTTCTAACGGTATACTTATGCGTGTAAACAAAGGTCATATAAACATTTAAGTAGATGTTATAAACAGTACAATTTGGTCAAAATTAAAATATGTATCATTAGGAATTAGCTACTGAATTATGACAGCATGAAACATGAAGTACTATGCAGATTTCACAAAGAATAAGGTAGAGGCTTTTTTGATTTAGAAATGATGCCAAAATAATTTCATTTATGCTAACATGACTTTCAGAAATTCTACTTCTGATAGTATGTTACCTAATTTATTTAGAGTAACTCTTCTGATAAAAACAGCTTAAAACAATACTTGGGATATTTTAAAAATATTTTTAAGCAACTTCAAAAATATTGAAGTAACTTCACATTGCATTGTGACATTATACAAGCAGGTGTACACTGAGAATCAACATGTTCGCATACTACATTAAGTTCACTGCTGAATGTCCAGTTTCAAAAAGCTAAAAATAAAGGAATAAATTTTCAGGCCAAACTCCAAAGACTGGAACCCATAGAGATCTGACCTAAAGCAGTAGTATCCTAGCCACCTGGCAGAAACAAACAAAATCCTCTCTCAAAACACAAATTTACCTGAGGCCGCTTATACATCTGCTGAGTTATTTTTCAAAGAAAATGAACCACCCACAGAATAAGCACAAAAAGAAGCAAGACATCATGAGTAATACTTGCAGAAAATAACTAAACACTCTTTCTCTAAACTGAAAATATACTGAAGTTGTTAAAAAAAGGAAAACTCAGCAGATGATTTTAACAGTTGACTCCAGGAGAGACAGAGCAGATAAGCAAACCAGACTACATTAAAAACAATATCCAAAAGGGAGCTCAGAGACAAATGGGGACACAGAAAAAGAAACACGGGGTCATTCAGAGATGGAGAGTAAGAGACAGTCAGGCGTGCCTCTTGTTTCCTGTGACCCATGCTGTTGGTAGCTCTTAGTGTAGATAAAAATATTTCCAACCCCCTGGCAGTGGGCAAAGAGACACCTGACTGGTGGTGTAGTTATATCACTCTGGGGCAATGCACATGCACAGTCCTTTGTCCATCCTATCTTGATGCCTGCATTAGTGGCCAGAGCTGTTTCATGCCTAGGGCAAATGGAAAAAGAAAGAAAAAAAATGCCAAGCATTTTGGACATTCACAAGACCAGCCTTTCCTGAATTTTACATATGCAGAAACAAATGGAGAGGCACAAAGTTTATGTAATCTGTAGAGCTTCCATTAGAGTCCATTACATTGTTCTTTCTCCCACAAAACTTGTTTTCCAACTAGTTGTTGGAGGGGAAGTGAGAGATCAGGACCTTGGGGAAACTTGTGCACATGTACAGGAGTGTTCACAGCAGTGTTGTTTATGATACTCCACAACTGGAGTTGTGTGATCAGATGTCCATCGGGAGGAGGACAGAGAAGTAGAACTGGCATAGTCATAGGATGTCATACGTCAGAGCAGTGACAGGCGTGAACTTCAGCTACTAGTGACTCTAAAATATAGCATATATGGAATGGTTCCGTTTACGAAAGGTTCAGAAGCGAAACACAGAAAACTAGAATATTATATTAAGGGGCCATACAATGGTGGTCAAATTGTGAAGACAAGCAAGGGCGTTCTCTTGAAAGGCAGGGTAGTGTTGCCTCCAGTGGAGAAAGAGGAGCGCTGCTGTTTGCCTTGAGCGTGGTTGCATGGGTGTTGACTCCATTACTCCTTTGTAAACCGTGCTCTGTATTGTGCTTTCTTCTGGCCCATGAGAAACATTGCAATACAGAAATTGAAATAAACAAAGTTTGGTGTCGTCTACACTTGTATTTGGTTTGGGTAGGTTTTATTTGTGGTGAAGAGAAAGAACGCACTCCTTAGCACATACATGGAAAAGTTCTGGAAAGATGAACCATCAGTTGGCTGCACACGTGGGGTTGAGGGCTGAGAAGGGAAAGCAGTTGGGACTTCTATGTTTAAATTTCTTAGCATGTGCTTATTTTTGTCATTTTGTAACAAAAACTTGCGACCTGGTTATTTCAGTAGTCAAGTGGGTCGGCAATCAGGCCGGGTGCATGGGAGGGAAGAATAGGGAGGGAGAACAGGGCTAAGTTCTGGGGGTGCCCTCCTTTACAGCTTGCCCACGCATCCCTCTCTTCCACTCCCTACTCCTCCAGCAGCCTCGTATTTCACTTTCTACCTCTGATGGGTACATCTCCCTTCCCTAAGTCACAAGTTACTCCAGGAATGAATGATGGAGTGTAAATGATGTGGACTCCACAGAACTAGGGCAACAGATGAAGTTTTAAAACATTAGCTAGACATTTTGCATTCTTTGTGCAATGAGCTAAGATCTAATTCATACTTCACTCTCCAACTTGTGTTCATTGATAAAAAGAAAAAGAATTTAACTGCCGTAAAATGTAATTTAAGTGGTATCTAAAAACAAGACATTTTGTTTTTTAAGTCTAGAACAAATCTGTTGTATTAAAAATTGGATAATCCTTAAGCAGTCACAGACTCCATCTGAAATGAAGCAACTATCAGTTCAATGATATGACTAAATTTTCAGCAACAAAACATATTTCATGAATGTTTCGTCCTTAGTGCTGAAATCTGTTTATCTAGTATAAAAAGGAATGGATTGCTCTATACCCAGTTCAGAGCCACTTCTCTTTTTCTGTAGCTAAGAGCCTGCCCTGCACTGAGCTTATTAGCACAAAAATAAACACTGTCAGTTTAGGGCTGTTACGTGTTATCTTTAAACTTTATTTCAAACAGTCTCAAGTTCAACATGACTATTTCTAATGATGGTACTGTCTTTGCTTTTATGGATGCTCTGTTTTTGAAGCAGAAATTATTTCAACCAGAAAAAGAGTTTGTAAGCATAGCAGTATTGATAGACGATTTTTATTTACATTCATTGGACTTGCTCATTTTCATACTGGTTACTTAATTCAGTGCTGAAACATGCTAATACAGGGGGAGTCTCTCAGTTTGCTATATAAACTATTACAGCTATTTGCTGTGTGATTGTTCTCCTTTGAAAGAAAAAATGTGTATTCTTTTAATAGGGTCTTAAAATTAATACATAAAACCACTTTGCTCTGGAAAGTGCCTTCTGATATTCTATAGAAAAATGAATTAATAAGCAAATTTGGAGAAAGTACTCCCAGAGTTAATGGTATGTCAGGTTTCATTTGAAATGATGTCTCTGGCAATGATTTTTCTTTCTTCTTTACAGGTTGGCTTGGCTTCTATTCAGGAACTAGAGCAGCATCTCTTGCTTAAGGAGAAAGTGATTTCAAAATCTTGCAAAAATTTCATCAATCTGATTCATGGGAAAGATGATAGTACTTCAAGTTCAGAGGAGGTAAAATTAATCATGCGATCATTTTACCATTTCATGAATTGATAACAGTTTTTTTAAATTGGAATGTTGGGGTATATTAGAAAATGCTGTTGAGTGGATCAAGAAGAAAAGTGGCAGGGATTGTAACATCTGGCTTTATGACATTGAAAAGTATTTGAGTAAGGGGCCAATATTTTATACATTTGCAAATTATTCTCATTCTGTAAAATGTTAAAATCTCAGTTATCAGGAACCTTGGAAAATAAGGTTTAACTATTCAACTTTTTACTTGCATGGTTTGAATAGAAATTGCTTCAAAGCAAATTATATATTTTACACTTCTTAAACAGAAAATACTGGGCATTTTTAACCTCGTATTGATGATGATATAATTTCATCATTACTATGAAAGGTGTTCTTTCAAAGTCCATTGTATGTTTTCTATTCCTCTAGTTAATGTTCCTAAATTGCAGTGCTTTTTTAGTTCTTCTATCTGCTGACCATAAGAATACCTCCAGGTACCTTGCAGTTCATTATTTATGCCAGTTCTGTCATGGAGAGAAGTAGCAAAAACTGCTTAGATTTCATAGAAATTATATAGATGCACATTAGTTTCTTCCAGAGAAAGACATACCATAACAATATTACAAAAGCCAAGAAAAGCTGGGCACAGAGAAGCATAATGTTGCATTTTATTCTTTTAAGTCACCTTACCCCTGAACTCTGACTTCCATTGAGATGACTGGCGATTCTTGTAATGGTCTGTGTTTTTCACCAACTCTAGTGTTCGCAAAAATTTGGGTGAAAAAATATGGTTACTGTAAGAAACAACAAAAGCACATCTGGTTGAGTTTCTGTATTACTGTTCTAACTGTCCTGGACAACCTTATGACCCCCATTATAAAAGTCTCTACATTTTCCTCCCCACCCACCTCAATGATGTTGGTTTTAGAAAAGGGGAAGAGAAGTTAGAAATAGATGGTTGAAACCACTGTGCGTTATGCACCATTTTGTGCCCTTCACATGGTTAATTTTAAAAATGATCCTGGCAGGTAGTAAACATTTCTGCAGGTTTTGGATGAATACCCTGCCTTAAATCTCACAGATAGTGGCAGGAGCGCCTCTGTGAAGTTAATGCCAATATCTCCTTTCAGCGTTACCACATGGAGGGGCAGCATGGAGCAATAGTTAAGACAGAGCTCTGGTTCCAGTCTGCTCGGCTCAAACTGCAGCTGTGCCGCCACTGACTGTGTGACCGTGGTGAGGGCTCCAACTCCTGATGCCTGTTTAGCATAGTACGGCTAATGGTGCTGCTGACCACTAGCTAGATCACTAGGCTTCTGGTGGAGGTTAAACTGACACTTGAATAGCCTTCAGGACAGTGCCTGGCATCGAGTAAGCCTCCGAAAGTGCGGTGTATTGTGATAGTTACTCCTGCTCCTGAGTCTGCGTTCTCACAGATCCATGTGCGTGTGTATGAGTGAGTTTGGCCTGGGCTTTAGGACACAGTTTAGCACTAACCTGTTAGAGATCCAAAGATAATTGTAATCCATTTTTTTCATATAGAAGTTATAGGCTCAGTGCAAGTCACTGGTAAAACAAAGAGTGGAGCGTTTCAGCATGCCTGGGGACATGTCAAGTTATTGGTCAAAATGAACTCTAGTTTTATATTCCTGCTGACTATGGGTTGGACATCCCCTCTTGTCTCTAATCAGGCTGTGCCTCTTGAGCTGAGTAGACCACTAATTATATATCTTTTATAAATATCACTGTAGTGAATTATGTATTATGTATAATATATCATATTATAGATTATAAGTTATCTTCAAACATTTAAGCTGTAAGATATGGCCTAAAGCTGATTCCATTATTTAGTTTTGTTGCATTTGATAAGGTAGGTGTTTTTCCCTTAATAATCAATTATTCACATGTGTTTTTCTATAAGGACTGTCTTGTTACACTTTGTGGTAAAGAAGAAAATCCTGTCTATACCTTTGATGAAAAGCCATCAGGCAGTTTTCAAGTCTCAGAACAGATAGTGGAGAAGATATGGTATCGTGTAATGGATGATAACTTGATTGTTGGAGTGAAAACTACATCTTTGCACCTGTAAGTGTGTTGTAACATGATAACATTATCTTGATGCCCTAGAAGAGTGCTGCCCAACAGAAATATGCAATTTTAAATGTTCTAATGGCCATATTAAAAATAGAAATAGAAGCAGGCGAAATTTTAACATTATATCTAAAACGTCATTGTTGAAGGATAAACAAAATCTTCTATGAAAAAGTAGGTTTTACTCAGTTCATTTAGGGGAGCATTAAGTATAATTTTTGCTTTAGAGGTATTTGAATTCTAAGTTATTATTAAAGTAAGCTCTCATAAGGAGTTGCTTTTTCATGCCTCCCTGGCGGCTCAAGGGGTTAAGTCGCAGTGCTGTGAAGTTATTTGCAGCTACTGCAGCAGGAGTCCAATCCCCAGCCTCGGAGGTGACCCACATTGCACAGCAGCCCTCTCCTGCCCCACCTGCTGCTCCCCTCAGCAGTGGATTTCAGTAGATCTGCTTGTTCTGTTTTCCACTCTATCTCTGCGCCCCTGGCCTGTACCCCAGTTCATGTATGCATACATAAGTAAATCTTTAAAAAAAAAAATTTTTTTTCTTATTTAAGAAGGGAGGATAAAAGACCTACCTCAAAGATAAAAAAAAATCCATATATTTTTCTATTCCTTGCTTTTAGAAAAATTACTTTTTCTAAAGTCTAATATATTTAATGAAGTTTTTACTTTATCCAGAAAAGTGATATTTACAGGATCTTTAAAAATGTGTTTGGCTTTTATGCTTCACTTCTTTATATATTTTGCAGCGGAAGTGATGTTTCCTAGGAAAGAAGGGAATAATTTTGTTGTTTGTATGGCATTTAATCAACTATTTAAATTTAAAGAATGAACTTTTAGACTAAATTGAACTCTAATTTTTTTTTGTTTTGCAGATCTCTAAATGATGTGACTTTATCACTGTTAGTGTCTCAGGCTGATAGCTCCAACTTTAGTTTTGTGATGTGTCAAAATAAACTGATCAAGTTGAGGAGGGATTCTCTGTCAGCACCACATTTAGTCCCATGTGAAATAGAATCTAAGGCAAAAAGGATCAGGTTGACTGTGGACACTGCCGAAGAGAAAAAGGAATGCTTTGTTAGTAAACCGCCATCCCAGAAAGACCCTGTGCACCTAATTACTGCTGTCACTGCTCTTCCACCCCTTTTAGCACTCAGAAATTTCAGTTGCATTGTGCTGCTACAAGTCAGGGAAAGAGAAAATGATGACTCTTGTGAAGATGGTTATATTCAGTGTGGCAGGATCTTTTTATCTCTGGAAGATCTTTCAAATGAGAAATACATAGTCACATTTTCAAAGAAGAATCCTATAGGTAATTTTGGTTGGCTCTTTTAAATCATGCACCTGATTGAATAAGAGAATTCTGAGAATTCTCTGCAATAATGGACAGAGTTTAATGATGGAGTTTATGACATCTTTTTCTTGTAGAACACGTGGAAGATCTCTTTGCACTTCTCGCAGCCTTACACAAAAGTTGTTTTCAAATCATATCACCCAGTTATGCCCTGAATTCAATGAAGATGTGGCTTTTTGACCACATGAAATGTGAAGTGATTGAAGAATTTCCAGAAATCTGCTTTTGTAAAAGGCCAGGAAGTTTCTTTGGGACACTTTTCAGTTGGCAACAAAGAACACCATTTGAAGGAATTTTAACGGTCCATTTCAGGTAATGCACATCAGCTTGGGCTCCTGTGCATGTGTTTGTGTGTTGACTGTGTGGTGTAACAACAGTTCTGTGCCACCATGGGGCATATCCTGGTCATCGTCTGGTATCGCACAAATGAACCTGCGGTCTCAGGAGCTAAAGCTCTCTGTTGGACTTTTATGTTTGTTTTGACTTGTTTTGGTTGACTAGGACCTGGTAATTATTTATTTATTTTATTTTTTATTTATTCACACAGAGCTGGGGTACAGGCCAGAGGCTCAGGGACAGTGAGAGGATTCACCAGAGACAGAGTGGGGAGTAGAACAGGCAAATCTACGAAGTACACTGCTGAGGGGAGGAGCGGGCAGGTCAGGAGAGGTCTGCCATGCCATGTGGTCACCTCCAGGGCAGGCGGGAATCGAATTCATGCTGAAGTGGCTTAAGCTTCTTAGTGCTGTGCTTTAACCTGCTGCGCCACCAGGGAGGGCCAAGGGCCTAGTAATAATTTTAAGATTTTTTTTCTTGGCTCTCCCCCAATGACATTTTAAAATTAAATATTGATCTTATTACTCTGAAAATTAATTAGGACACAGCCTGTCAATATTAACTGACTTGGTGTAGGATATGCACATTTGATTGGCAGAGTCTTGGTGTATAGTGATCACATGGGTGCATGGGTGGTTCATTTGTCGCTGGTGTGTTTCTTGATGACTGTTGATTATTGCAGTCTATTATATATACTTATATACTGCTTTGCATTGTCCTGATCTTTATAATACTGTGCTTCTTTTTTTTTTTTTAAACTCTAGGAACCAAACAGTTTTGTTCCAGTGCCTTCATAACCTCATCAGTGTTCTCCCTGTAAACTGTGTCCTCAAAAAGCTAAAATCAGAAATGGAAGATTTCTCGATCGATCACTTGGCACATAATTTGGAGAGGGAATTGGTTATCCTTGGTTCTCTTTCTTCTGCTTTAGTCAAGGCTGAAAACCACTTGGTGCAAAAGTGTGGAGCGAGCAAAGAACAGAGTAGTGGCGATGAGGCTGTATTATCAGACAGAGAGGAAAACATCCAGTCACACAGGGAAGAGCTTCAGAGAGAGAAGAAGGAAACCTTGATGACAGACCTAAAAGTGAGTGGTGCCCTATACAGAGAAATAGTTTTGAAATTATCAGAGGCCCAGCTAAAATCAGACTCTATTGCACAGAAACTGATTGATTTATAATTACAGTCTCAAGACTATACTTTCAGAGATCATTTCTATAGTTTGTTATAATTACAATCTCAGTTATTTTTTTAAAATTTTTTTTTCCTCCCAGAGTGTTTGGTTCCACTTATTTTCACTTTTACATTATAGGCCTCCCTTTATAGAAATACGGATTGAGGCCTATTGGTTTTAGCTTTGGTGATGACCACACGCCTGACCTCTGGGGGCATTCGTCATGTTTGGGTGCATTTTTTGGTTGTCAGAGGCCTGGGGACAGGGAGGCGGGTGCACCGTGCACATCTGGGGCACAGTCGGGGCTGCTGCTACATGTCCTGCTCCAACTGGACAACGCACAGAAGAGCCCAGGCCGAAGTGCCAGTGGCACCCAGGTTGCAGAATCTTGCCTTAAAGTTAGTTCCCACTTCAATGAAAACAAGTGAAATAGCAGTATTTTGGTCTAAATCTTTAAAAAGCACAGCCTTTAAGTGTGCTCTTCTTAGTAAAACCTGCCATATAAAAATCTGCTTCAAATAGATAAATTACACAAGTCTGTCGAGATTCACAAGTGTGTGGAAACATCAGAGAGCTGGGAAATGTGAACGGAGCTACGTTCGGGTGAGATCATTAAATGAAAGTGTTTGGAGCTCTTGCTGATTTGGATTTTATTAGGAAGCTTCTCTGAAATTGTGTAAGTAAAGGAAAGTGAATATTTTAGGGCATTTCTCTGAAAAGCATATCACTTTCAAAACACTAAGCATACCTAATAGGCCACTCTTTAAAAAAAAAAAAAAAGGAAATACCTTGCAGCTATCTGAAATTCCAACTGTAGGCAAAGCTAAAATACAAAATTTTTACTAAAATAACTTAAAGAATATGCTGCACCTTAGGGACTGAAAAATTTAAAAATAAGTAAAAAATTACTTCTTAAGAAATCCAAAGAGACATTTCAAAGGGAAGAAGCTAGTCTTTTTTTTTTTTTTGAAAAAAGTTAAAATTCTGAAGTTATACAAAAATGCCCGGAAAGAGAAAAGGCACAGAAGGGTGGGGGCCAAAGGGGCCTTTTGCACTAAAATCCTTTTTTCTCTAAAATCCTTAAGTGAGATGGAAGTTTCTGTCTCAGTGGAAAGAAATGGAGATGATTATAGGAAGTGGCATTTCATGCTTGGACCTGCTAAGTGCTAACCTTCCCAGGCCTCCAGGCCTGAGCAGTGTTTGTACCTCATGATCTGATGATGAAACTGGATTTTAGAGAATGCAGGTTATTTTCTGGCTCGAGTTTTTAGGATTGTCCATCAAACATGCTTCCTGTTTTTGAAGTGATCCATTGCCCATTGGGTTAGACTCTTCAGCTATTTCTATGGAATATCAGTGGAAAGTGTTTTAGACTTTTCTGGGAACACTGTCATTTTAGGATCAGCTTGAAATGTGGAAGCAGTGGCTTCTCTTGAAACCACCCATGATATGTTTTGAAAGAAGAGCCAAGTTCAGGAACAAAATTATAAAATGGAATTTGCAGTTATAAATGGAATTTAATTGCAATAGTTTATAAGAGTCAGTATAATAAAAACGAGCACAATGCTTGCTTTTTTGTTTATAAAAGCAACCAAAGGGTATTACTCTTTAGAGGTATTTGCAAGATGATTTGTAAAGGGTGTTACTCTTTGCAAGTCATCTCTCTGCAAGTGGGTTTCATCCTCCAGCATAGTTTTTCTATTTAGTTACTCCAAAGTAGAAAAGTCAAAATTTGCGGAAGTATTGCCCCCTCACTCTCTCATGATTCAACTGCCCATGTCAGCATATTCCTCTGACCTTGTCACGAATCTGAGGATTCTCCCCCAAAATCTAAACCATGATGTGAGAGTGAACCTTGTTCCGAGCTCTCTGGTTTTCAGGCACAGCTTTCTCTTGGCCTCCTGGCCCTGGCCTGAGGAGTGTGTGCATTGCGGCTCAGCGTGCCGTTGTGCAGTTTGACAAGCAGGCTTAGGACGGGGAAAGAAGCGGGGCCTTTGCTGGGTCTCAGCTGTGCTTGTGGAAGGCCTGGCCTCTCGCCCACAATGCACGCTCACTTCCATATTGCCATCTGTCCACATCTGAAGTTTATTCCCCCCCAGAAACCCTTGAAGTGTAGTTATTAGTGGTGTTACTAATATGAAAAAGACTATTAAAGCAATTACAGGGACCCACTGGAAGCAACTGGATCCTATACACATTTTTCCAAAGTCAGCTGACCCTTTAAGCATTCTAATACTCACCACTGTATCTTCTTTAGTCCAGTGATATCTCTATTTTCTAGAATTGACTACACTTTTCCCCAGTCTCAGAAAGGAAGAGATGTAGCATATTTCTTCCCTATCCTCACCAATAAAAGCTAACATTTCAACTTTCTAGGCTAGAAGGCTATGTAAACTTGGTTTTCTTTTTGTCTAAAACTCGGCCAGTGCCAGATACTGAGAGCTATCCCTTATCGTCCTCGTGTTCAAAGTTGTAAAAACATTACTTTCCTTTCTAATAATTTGCAATGGAAAGCTCTTCCTTGGTTGACCCCATCTGAAGAACTTTAGAGTTTTACTGCCAAAGACCGTTTGGGAAGAAATCTACTAATAGTACTTAGTGAATTCTTCCCATTATCTGTGCCCTTCCCACCATTCCTGCTCTCCCATTCAGCTAGTTCATGTCCATTCATCCTTCCAATCTCTGTTTTAATTCACCAGGTCACTTCCTTTCAGTATGCACTTTTGTAGTACATGATACTTCTTTCCAGTGGCAATGATTATAATTTAATAACTAGCTAGCTATAAGCTATAATTAACTCCAATTTGAAGTCAGAGCTGTTGTTTCCAAAATGTAAATCCCTCAATACTCTTGACGTCTCTAGAGATGGGGTCCTTTTTCTCTCCTGATAACCTTTGTGTCCCACCTATATAATACTTTGTACATAATTGGTACTTATCTCATAGTAGTATATTTTTTAAAGAAAACATGAATCAATGAGATGTAGTTTTAAGAACTCAAAGGGCCCACCTTACAAGGGACAGGAGGGTGTGCTGTGCACTTGGGGAAGGTGGGGGTTTTGCCATATTGTGTATCACATTAAGGAAGTTGCACTTAGTTCTCAGTCAGTGTTTTCCAGACTTTGATCTCATGTGGGTAAGTATGGTTTTAAAAATTGGGGAGAACAGCAGAGATTTGACTTTCTGTTTTGTAGGATAAGAATATTTAAAAAGTAGCACTTATGCAACCATTATTCCATAAAATAATATATTGATACTAAATATACCATAGAATGAAGGTAATTTAAACTGAATACATTTGTTTTCATGAAAAAAAATCTCCACACTTGTTTTCTTTCCCCTCAGTCTTATCGTGGTCAGCCCAGTTGAGCTTATGGTACTAGTCCGCGCATGTAGGCTCAGGAGTCACAGATGGAAAATTTTGCAGTAATTTGTGTTGGCAAGTGGATGGTCTGATTTTTCAGAACTTGTTAGCTATTTGAAGGCTGAACTATAAAGGACAGAAAGAAAATTCAGGAATAACTAAGGGGGCACTAGAGTGGTCTAGGTGAGAGATGAAGTATTGATTTAAATTGGCAAAGGGGGGGGTCTGTTGTGCCTCCTGTGTAGCTCCCTGGCCCGGGGATCGAACTCAGACTGCAGTGGGTGCAGAGAGCTTCATAGTGCTGTGTTTTAATCCCTGGTACCGTGAGATGAAAAAAATGTACAAAATAATGATATAAAAATATATATTTTATAAAATAAATATTAAAAAATAAATTGGCAAAGATAAAAGGGAGAAATAATGATTCATAAAGTTGGGGACTCACCTGAGTTGCATGTATCTGTACACACACACATAAGACAGGATGTGTCCTAGATCTGAATCAGAACAGGCAAGTGTCGAACATGGCTGTGTGCATTTTTTTAAGCTTTAAATGTGATTCTGGTGCTCACCATGAGTTGACAGCCATAGGTTGTTGTCACCGGGGGAAAGGTAGTGGTGAGGGGAGGGCACTCCCTTTTGTTCATGACATAGACAAGTTAGGGAGAAGAGTCCTTTGAACTCCTTCAATGAATGTACCCTGTTTTATGAAAACATTTTTTTTTAATTAAGTGGTCTGAGCTCAGTGAAGGCAATCTTCTTTCCTTTCTTTCAAACAGTCTCTCTGGCACATCCCTGTAGCATCTCTGGTATTTTTAGATACTGAAGAACAATCTCATTTTCAGGTATTGAAAAGTTTTGTTCTATCTTGAAATGAGTCTACATAAGAAAGCAAATATGTCATAATTAGAGCAACAACAAAAAAATAATCCTAATAAGACATATGTAAGATGTGCATGAAGAAAACACTTAAATCCTTAAAAAGAGATTGAAAAAATAGTAAGACATGTAGTACTCTTAGATCAGAAAACAGTGTCATTAAGGTGTCATTCTCTCTGTTATTTTGTAGACTTAACCTAATCCCATTAAAAATGCCAACAGATTTTCATTGGAACAAATCACACTTATTCTAAAGTTGTGGAAAATGTGCAAGCCAGAACAATTTGAAAAAGAAAAGCATTGGGGATGGTGATTCACTGTACTAAATATTAAGGTATATCATAATATGTCAGTAAGTAAAAGCATGTTTCTAGTGCACGAATAAAACACTGCAGAATAGAGTAGAATAGAAAGCTTAGAAATGGGACCAAATGCATGTGAGAACTAAGTGCAGTATAATGCAGCCGTTCTACTTTTTTAAGATTTATTTATTGATGCACACAAGAACTGGGGTACAGGCCAGAGGTGTGGGCGGTAAGAGGATTCACCAGACACAGAGTGGGGGGCAGAAAAGGCAGATCAACGAGGTGGTCCACTGAAGGGAGCAGTAGGTGAGACAGGAGATATCTGCTGTGCTCTGTGGGTCACTCCCTGCCCAGGGATCGAACTCATGCTGCAGTGGCTGTGGATAGGTTCATAGTGCTGCACTTTAACCCCTTGTGCCACCAAGCAGGACCCCATTCTACTTTTCTTAGGAAAAGATGGTATTAGGAATTTGAAGTA